AGAACTCACCAAGGCCTTCTTTAATATTACATTACAAGTTGATTCCATGCTTGATATAACTAGGTGAATTAAACTTTCACAAAAGATAAATATTAAATAAAATTTACAATTCTTATTCATATAACCCCAATTTAATATATTTCAACCACCATACCAAGGCCTAAAATTCTAGCATGCCACAATTTAATTCTAAGTTGCCTAGCATCATGAGAATTAAATCTTAAACAAAGAAAATAATTAAATTAAATTCTAAAAACTTGAACAAGGCAAGTTCAAAAGTTGTATATGCTTATAAAACAATCAATACAACAATAATATAAACCTAAGACACCCCCTACCTCAATTTGAGATGAAAATCTCAAAAGCCATCAAAACGAAACGGCTCCGAATTTGACAATACTTCGGGGTTTCGTTGGGGACAACGCCAAGAACGATAAACTCCAAAGAGGACCCATGAAAATCACAATTTGACTTCAAAACCAAACTCAAAATTTGGCCAGAAATGGGTTCTAATAAGGGTGAAAGAAGCGTGTAGTCAACACGAACACAAAACGCAAAGGCCCTACTATGTTCTGACAAAGAAATGAAGTTTAAATGAGGAGAGAGAAGGTAGCAGCCTCCTTTGGGCTGCCATGGAAGCTTCAGGTCGTGCAAGAGAGTGGGGAAGATGAAAAAATAAAATATCTCATCCCCCTTTTATAGAATATCAAAAAGTGCCATGAACGGGCCTCGCCGGGTCCGGAAAAGTGAAATTTAAGAAGACGCGCTCAAATGATGAAGCTTTGTGAACAAAATAGATTCAAAATGAGAAATAAGAATAACGGAAGAAACGGCGTCAAAAACTGAGTCCCGAGCAGAAAGTTATGCCCCAAACAAGTTTGGTGCAAACCGGGGCCAGAAACCCTGAAACTGGAAAACAACGACCAGAAGGGACTTCTAAGAGTTTACGACTCAACGAAAAGTGAAAATGAATCCTGTACGAGGATCCAGGTTCAAAACAAGATAATTTGTAACAACTTTCATTAACTGCACAATGGCCCCCACAAAAAGGTTAATTGCATAACTGCCCCAGAATGAAAATATCTTCCAAAAGATATTTTTTTAGATACCCCTGAAATAAAATATCTTCAAAAGATATTTACGAAAAACACTCCAAGAAATGAAATTAATTTCAAAGAATTATACAACTAGAGTACTTTCCTACAAAAGTAAAGATATGTATTTCGTGGAAACCACTCATGATAAAGATACGTGAAGTCAAAAACCAACTTCGAGCACAAGAAGTGAGGTTTTGCCAACAAAGCGACAAACGGGAAAAAGACGAAATAGGGAAAAGGACGATAAGAATAAGGACAAAAAAGTGAATAGTGTTGAAAAACGAAAATTGTGGAAATGACTCGGTCCTCAAAGGAAGTTGTCAATCCATGGAAAAGAGTCTTAGAAACCATTTCTGAGCACTCAAGACGACACTAAGTGGTGAAAAACCATCGACAGAAAAGAAAAGACAACGGAAAAAAATTTTTCACAAAATTTAAGGAAATAGGAAAAGGAAGAAAATGACTGAGTCATTACAAAAACTACTTTCAAAAGGCCAAAAAGGCGATTGAGGAGCGATTGAGGAGGACTTAGAAGAAGATCGCGAGAAGAGGTTGTCAAAATTAGGTTTTCGGAATTGGAGTGGAGTAAAGATCGCGAGAAGAGGTTGTCGGAATTAGGTTTTCGAAAGTGGAGTAGAGTAGAGGCGATTAGGTTTTCGGAAGTGGATGTGGAAGAAGGTGTTTTCAGAAGTGGAGTGGAGTAGAGGCGATTAGGTTTTCGGAAGTGGAGGTGGAAGAAGGTCAAGGTCGAACTTAGGTTTTCGGAAGTGGAGGTGGAAGTGGAAGAAGGTCGCGAGAAGAGGTTGTTATTGCTATTGTTACAGTTGTCGGACTGTTGTGACAGTAGTCGGAGTTAGGTTTGTGGAGCGGAAGGTTTTCAGAAACACAGAGGTTTTAATTTCTTTGAATTAACTATATTAGATTTTGTTCGGAAATGCAGAGGTTTTAATTTCGTTGAATACACTATATTAAATTATGTGTTTTTAGTTTTGTTTGATTATTTGTGAAATCCTGAAAAAGTTATTCGTGATAAATAAATTATGTGTTATTACTCTATATTAAATTGTGTGTTATTAGTTTTGTTTGATTATTTGTGAAATCCTGGAAAAGTTATTCTGTGATAAAGAATACAGTATAAATTGATTGAACCCTATTAAATTCTGTCCATCCTTTTCCTAAGTCAGAGGTTTAATTTGATTGAATATAGTATATTAAATTCTGTTTTATTAGTTATGTTTCATTAATTTGAAATGTGAAAGATCATCGTCTAAATTATGCACATCTTAATAGTCAAAGGGTAGATAGATAGTGGTTTATTAGAATTTTGCAGTCGAATCTCCTCCAGTCATGTAATTTAGATTAAATTTGAAGAAGATGATAGTATATGTATTAAATTCTTTAGATCATCAAAATGAGATACATTGCAAAATTTTCAAACTCTAATTTATAATTGTGCTATAGCAATTCATAAAACAAGTTTATACCATACAACACAATGGCCTACAAAATTGTAGCTACAAACTGTGTTTTCTACTCATAATTCATAAAACATTTAACTAATCATATGATTGAGAGGATGTATTTACATGTTATACACTTTAGACCATACAAAATAGTATGCAATGGAGTGGTTCCAAGTTGTTTAAATTAAAGGTCTATTCAATTATTTAATTCTGCAGTCTACTCTAGTCGTTCACACGGGCAGGAATCCTCTCCTGTGCCTGTTCCCGCCAGTTCCAATATGTGGCCCAGATATTCCAGTATAATTCGTGATAGAAGTTATTTGTTATCATTAAATTGTGGAAAAATGAATTGCAAATTATGAAAAATATTATTTGTGTAAGGGAATGCAATGTTTTATACAATTTGTGATGGTAATTGGTGTGTTGTATCTGTTGTTTGGTGGTATGATTTTGTTGTTGCACCATTTTTACAGTTAATTGTGTGTGTGTTTGTTTTATCTGTTTATGGTTAAAATTTTTGTGACGACCCTAGATTTTTCAACCCAGCGTGTCCTGTGATGACCCGAACCGGATCCAAGATGTGGAAGCAAAAGAATCGGAATGGCCTCAAGAGATGTACATCATCCCTAAGGCACTAAAGTGACTCCCCATAAAGCCACTAAACTCACATGAGCCAAACAAATGAAGCAAGAATGCCTAATCTGAAAAGAAATGAACCAAGGGCAAAATGGTCATTTCTAAATTGAAATAGGTACCACTGAGCACACCATTAGAAAGACAACAAAAAAATAAACAAGGTTAGACTCAAGAATTGCCTGATTCTGAGTTCGAACGGACAAGATATGAATTTAAAACAAGGTGGCCTTCATCGTTTAAGAATTACCATGAACCTATCTTACTAAAACTGGAATAACTCTCATCATAGATAGAGTTATGATGTGTGGTTAGTACCATTGGATAGCTAACTACGAGCTCTTGAATTTAGAGTCAAGAATGACCCAAATTGGATTCGAAATAAAAGAGATATGATCTCCCAAAGTTGGAATAACAAAGCTGTCCAATAGATACTGAGAAGGAGAGGGTTCCAGGGAGGATCGGTCGACTAAAATGCAATGGTCAACCGGCTGAAACTCAACCGTCGGTCGGCCAAACCCCAATCATCAACCGGCCGAAACAAGGATTTTTCCTAAAAAGCCTACTGGAATGGTCTCGAGGGAATCGTCAGCTGACCGATGGAGCTTCATCAGCCGACCGTGTGACGACCCTGGATTTTTCAACCCAGTGTGTCATGTGATGACCCGAAACGGATCCAAAATGCCGAAACAAAAGATAGAACAATGATTTCTAGAGATACAACACTCCTTTGTGACACCAATGTGACCCTCAACGAGGTCACGAAACCCAAAGGAAGTAAATGCGGAAACAACGTTTCAAAAACGGATAAGAATGAACCTAGGGGTAAAATGGTCATTCCACACTGAAATGGGTGTCACCGTGCACACCATTGGAAAGACAACGAAAAATTAATGAATTTATACTCAAGAATCACTTGATTCGGAGTCCGGATGACAAAGATATCAAGTTCTGAAGTCGAAGGAAGGGAAACCCTATCCCGGTTCGAACCAAAAACAAACACTACCTTACTAAAACTTGAATATCATGAGTTACAAGAATAATCTGAATCTGAAATTGGTACCATTGGAAAACTTACTTCAACGCGGTCAATTTAGATTCAAGAACGGACCAATTCAGAGTTAAAACGAAGAAGTTATAACAATCTGAAGTTGGAAGTGCATTGCTGAACTAAACACACAAACACACCTCCTGTGAATAGTACCTTGAGCGCTCGAGCAAGGGCTTTGAGCGCTCGTAAATTGCCCCGAGAGTTCTGCCCAAAGTTAGAACGCTCGAACCCCCTTTAGAGCGCTCGAACTGCTATAAGCTACACTTGAAATGCAACATTGAAATGCAATTTTGAGGACTTTCTGGGCCTTTTTGAAAAAAACACAAAGAAGAAACCCCCCTCAAAATCATGTTTTATGGTCAACCATGTCAAAAGAAAACTTTATTTTTCATGTGAAAATCCCAAAATGTCCTTAGATCAGATTAGGCTCAAAACGGCAAAAATGCAACTTTGCAAATAGTATGCATTTGACCCCAAATGCATTTCTAGGCTGAAACGAATATGCACACAAATGTAAATGGTGATTTTGAGCACGCGGGAATGGTCCGTGGCTCCCAAAAATGGTCGAGTCAAAATCCGACCCCCCAACGGCCAAAAAGGCGAAATTGAAATTGAAATTGGAATTTTGAAAACCAAAATTCACAAATGACCTTAAATTACCCTTTGGCCCTTGGCCACACTTCAAACATGAATAATGAGACCCTATAAAAGAATGACAACAAATTTCCCACACCCGATGCAACCATGGCAAAACTATTACTTAACATTTCTCAATATATTCATAATATTTCATGGAGTCAAAAAGTACAAAGGATACAAAATACAAGTCATTGGCCTCCGGCCTCATCTCATACATGTCAAATACATTGAAAAGAGTGTACTCGTGTACACATTACATGTTTAAATTTAAATATACATATTTTGAAATATAAGGCTACAAATGACTTTTCAAGCCAACCTTTACAAGAAATAAAAATCTTCAAGTCCACCAACCATCCAAGCATGATGAGAATCGCAACCTTGATTCTTGTACCTGAAATATGCCCCAGTATCGTAGGGGTGAGTAACATAAAGATACTCGTAGGAAATGAGCATGCATCGATCTACATTTTATAAGTTTGCATGATTTAATTATTATGGTTTTGTAACGCCCCGAATTTTTTTTCTAAATAAATTCCTTGAATTATTCAAATCAAAATACATCAATTGTACACTCCCAGGATCTCAAAAGAAATAAAATAACCTTTATTGACTAAATCAATTCCTCAAAAATGAATATACAAATTCTCTAAATAATAAAATTAATTCCTCAAAACCAACTCTTCCACTTAAGCCCGCTATTATGATCCAAGTTCATTCTCGGTACCTGAAACTGTAGGAGGGTGAGACAGTAGGAAAAATCATAACAAGGATTTCAAGAAGTTTCATGATAAATTTGCTTCACAAAAATATATATATATATATATGTTTTTAAACAAAATACATATATGCAATTTTAGCAAAATAATAATTAACAAAATATTTGAAATAAATCATCCAAGCCATTCAAGGTATGATGATCCCTACCATGTAAAATAAAAATTCATCTGAGCACCAATCTTTGGCCCTCTCTGTCATCTAACAATCTCGGCCTCATCACTGTGTCTGTGCACATAAAATCTTGACACTACGTCTCTCTCTATCTCTAATTCTTTTCTTTGTATCATTCTCAAACTCACAAACTGATACCGATATAAATAGGCAATCCACCGACACATGCAAAACAGCTCACCAAAGGTATTATCATAATACTAATCTCTTTCCAAACAAGCCTACTTTCGGCTGACAGTCCACCACACAAAAGCAAATACAAAATGCTTAAAAGTCATAATTTCATATTCTATCTTCATCTTATCAACCCACGTACACAAAGTTATGTGCAGAAAAATCAAAGCCAAAAAGTGAATTTGGCCAAACAATTTCCTAGCCTTGGGCCCGCCCATCATCATTTTATTTCTTATCTTTTCTTCACTTTCCATATACAATAATATAACTCCCCTCATCATATATACAGCCCACACGTGACTATTATAGCCAAAATGGATTTTGGCCTAAAAAAAAAAAATATCCCAGTGGGACCCGCAACAAAAGAAGCTATCATCACCAATTTCAATTCTCTTATTCTATTATTTCCATACACAAAGAATATAATCTTACCCAACACATCAGAACGTGAATAGTGTCAAACTCCACCAAATTTATTACATAAATAACAAGTGGTGGACCCCATAAGAACTCATTTCCATTTCTTTTCCCCCACAATTTCGGATCCTGCTTTCCTTCTATCTCAAACTGATACAATATATATATGCATAAACCTTGTGTCAAAAATCAAACCCATTAATTAACTCCACTGGGCCTACGAAAAAAATCACCAAAACCAACCTTTTCTCATTCTGCTGGTAGCATTTTGCACCATATATATATATATTATATGCAACAAACTTCAAGTAAACAAACCCATTTATTTTTCTCATCCAATTCGGCAGACCACCCATTGATCCAATAATCTCATCAAATGAAATATATAAATCATCTATGCATATGTAACAAAAATTAATCACCAATTAAATCTTCTTTCACTAATTTCATCCAGGAGCTTTAGCATACAAAACTAAAATAAAAACCAATTAAAATATTAATTGGATAAATCTCAAATTTAAAATTAAAGAGTCAATCTTGACAACTAAAATTCATAGAATAAAATATAAATTCAATTTCAACATAAATAAATCAACCCATTAAAAATTTCAATTAAGTAACTCACCAAGTCTCCAATTAAAACAAAATAATCAATTTGCAATTGATAAGCCTTAAATCATAATTAATCAAATTAATTATGAAAACAAAAATTAAACCCATTAAATCTTTTAATTGGGTAAATCTCCAATTCAATAATCAATAATCAATAATCCAACCTCCAATTGGTAAATCTCCAATTAAAACAAAATAATCAATTTTGTTGACAACTAAAAATCAAGAGTATAAAATTTAAAATTAAACTCTAAAAATTCGGGTTGTCACAGGTTCATTCCACCTAACGTCTATGTCAAAGATGAGACTCAAGGAGCATCCTAACTACCTAAGATCATTTCTAGCATCAATCACCTCATTCGTGCAATTTTAGCAACATAGGGTCACGCTTACACAAAGCAACAACATAGGAGCATGCTTACACAAAGCAACAACATATAGATTCTCAAGGTAATCAACTTGAAGTCTAAAATGCAACATCAACTAAATATAACAATTTAGCATAATTAGAATATCTAATACCACACATCAAGACATAGGTTCTCTAGGTTATCAACTAGAAATCTAAAAGTGTGAAATCAACTAAATATATCAATTTAGTATGGATGTACTTAACAACATCAAAATGATTCATTAAAATCATAAACATGGATGTACTTAACAACATCAAAATGATTCATTAAAATTATAAACATAAATGTACTTAACAACATCAAAATGATTCATTAAAATCATAAACATGGATGTACTTAACAACATCAAAATCGCCAATAACCAAAACCACAAGTTACAATATAAACATGATTGTTAACTTGGAATTGAATGCGAAACCAAATAGTGGAAGACTTGGACATCTAAGCTCGGAATTCTGCTGAGACCTCAATGGTTATTCCGGACACTAACCCGCAGGGAAGACCACCTTAAGTGCGCACTATCTCAATGACTTAGAAGACTTACGTCCCCGTACTAGAGCCAAACTCTAGCCATGTTACTAATAACCATATCCCAAGAGAATCCAAAATAATCAAATAAGTTCACAACTTATACGTAATTTATATAATGCACGAAAACCACATTTCATGCACAAGTAGGTTGAAACTACACAATCCATGCCTTAGAGTTTCAATTCTAAAATGACATACATAATGTCAATTACAAAGTGTGCAATTCACTACACATAGCATCAATATATTCAATAAAAAAAACATGTTCTCATGAATATAAGTATAACAACAAAGTTGTCTAATGCTCAAAATACAACAAAGTGAATACATAACAAGTTCAAGTCCATGATTTGAATATAGAAACAACTTCTAAAATACCAATAGATCCATGGATCCATTAGATAGAATTTAATTAAACAAGATAATCAAATTCTCTAGATTTCAAATCAAATTCGGATAACCTCAAATTAATATATGTTAAACAACATATCTTTATTGTTTTTTTTTTTTTTTTTTTTTTTATGTGGCTAGTTGCTTAAATGTTTAATTGGTTTATTTGTTTTAAACTGTTAGTTTTGTATTTGAATTGCCTTATTTGGTTAAGTATATTTTAATTAAATTAATTGTATTTTTGGTTGCTATGCTTACTTTAATTGTATTATTAATTATTTTCTTGCATGGACGTAACTGTTTAATTAAATTAAGTGTATGAATTATCTTTTAGGGTTTTAGTATTTTTATGGACTTGCCGACATAATTAATTAGGATTTACGTCTAGGGTTTTTATTGACTTAGGATTTGGAGTTAGTTATAAATATATAACTTATACGTCCCTAGGGTTTGATAACCCTATTCACGACACAGTGAAAATACAGAGAGTTTGGAGAGAATTGAACGAGAGAAAAGCAGAACAAAACTTAGAAGGAGAACAGAGAGGGCCAAGGGAGAGTTGTGGTGGATTAAACCAAAACCATAGGAGGCTTGAAGGTGGTCAGTGGTTGCCGGAAATTAGGAAGACGACAACACAGTTTTGAGACCAAAGCTACAGGCAAGTTCTTCTACTTTCTCCTTCCCTTTGGCTTATGTTCTGTGCACCTACGTAGTCTCTAGGGTTAAATAAATTATAAACTAAAACTGACATGTTAATTGTATGTTATATTAATAATCTGTTTGGGTTGTAGTCGAATCTATTACAGAATTCGTACACATCTGTTTTCAGTTTTATTGGAAAAGCTTGTTAGTCCGGTTGTAATTTTAGACTCTAGGGAATTTGTTGAGTCTTAAATGGATCTTGCATGATTATTATATGTCAAATTTCATTATTTGTTGTCTGAGAAAGTGGTCTGAAATAAATTCGTTATTGTCTGTTCCAGTTTTCCTTTTTAAGCATGCTAGTAAATTGCTTAGTTAAATCTCTGTATTTGATTTCAAATTGTTGTTCTAAAACCATTGGGAGTCTATTTTGGTATTAATAAGACCTTAGGATAAGTTTTAGAAATCAACTGAAGGGTGGACATAGGCCGAAGAAGAAGCAGAAGGACGAGGACGGAGCAAACGGGGACTGGAAGCTCTCAAAGGAGGTGAGAGCCGGCTCCATGGATGTGGGAGCCGGCTCCCACACTCATTGAGCTGGCTCTATATTCTTATAGCCGGATCCAGGCTCAAAAAAGAGCCTGCTCTTGGAATTTAGAGCAGGCTCTTTCAAATAGTAATTTTCTGATAAAAATTCTACGAACTGTTTGGATACTGTTGGAGCATGGGAACATTTCTATTGACTCTGGGGTTTTACAGAGGGATTAGAAGGTTGGATTTGAGAGTTATTAAGTCCTTAAATTGAGTAAGCTTGACCTCTAAGTGAATGAAATTAACAGTGTGCTAATTTAACAATTGTGCGTACGGGTAACGGTTGGAAGGAAATTTATTGTCTAATTTTAATTTGACAATTTAAGGGGCTATAATATAGTTCTAAATTAAAGTTTAAATGTGTGATGGGTCTTTTGAATAACAATTAGACTTGTAGCTTATTGGGGCTCTGTGCTAACAGATTAAACAGAATATCAGTGTACAACTTAGCACGCAGTTACCTGATGAAGAAAATTAAGTTGCTCAAATTAATCTAGCAATTTATGGGACTATAATGTGATTTAAAAAACTTATTTTTAATGCATGATAGAGTCATTGATATATTAGATGTGATCTACGCATGCTATGGATGCTAGTTGTTGAACCTTTAAACCGTTTCCTGCAAATACATGGTTTAACTCTTGGATTTAAATTGCTGAAACTATAAATAGTCTTCTGTAATTATTTGGGATGGTTTTGGATTGTAAATTGCTATACTGTTATTTATAGGTTGTAATTTACATGGTTTAGATGTTAATTGTGGGATCTTAGATATTATCTTACAAGTAATTGGATTATGGTTTTGAACTGTAATTTCTGTAGTGTTGTATAAACTATTCTGCAATTACCGGGCTTTTGGTTTTAGTTATTAAATTGTTGTACTGTTATTGATAGTCTGTAATTTTTACATGGTTTTGGGTTTAAATTGCTGAATAAATATATTCTGTCAATTACATGGATATGGAGGATTATATGCACCGGTATAGGACGGTGACATACTAGGGGACGGTTTAGCTCAAAACGCTTAAACCTAACCTAATGGATTAAAGGAATGGATTTAAAAATATTGAATCCTACTTCTGTTAAGTCAAATCAACTGCAACTAAGTTGAGTGGCTTCCTGGATTAATGGATGATAGTTAAGTCATATCAACTGAATAAATTGATAGACTAACTAGCTTATTTATTGTATGTCAGTTCAATATATATTTGAACTACATACCCTGGTTTTGGACGGACTTTATATATATGTTTATGGTACCACAAGATGAGCTTGAGCCTCAGACTCGTTGGTTAGGGTGCGTATATGCAGTGGATGCGTAACTGGCTATAGTAGGTTGAGATGTACCCTGTTAGGTCTAGGTACTCATGCCCACCTTTGGGTGCGTTTTCGCATGTTACTTTCTATTCAGGTTGAGACCCCTACTGTAGTCCAG